CCAACCCAAAAAAAAAAAAAAAAAAAAAAAAAAGCAATGAAAAAAATTAAAACAATACAAAACCCACACTCTCCTTATTATTTTTATATACACACAAGCACATATATGTATATTTCAAATGTTAGAACAATCTTGTAGGACCCAGTATTTCTCTTTTGGAAGCAGTTATCTGACTTTCAGTAATGCTTTTAGTATCATATTATTTTCTTCTTAATGGAAAAATGTAAAATCATTATTTCATGGCGACCAGCTCAAAAGTTACTTTTCTTTTCTTCTGTGTACTATTCTGTATTTTGCAAATTTTCTGCATCAACATTGCATGCCTTTGTAGTAGGAATCAGTGCAATCTTAAAATTGAATTTGAAGTTCTGAATCCAAAGGATTTCAAGCAAGTAAGGCTGGCAACTCAAGGAATCAGGAGTATATTTTATATTTTAATTTTGTTTTTAGTTGGGTCTCACTCTGTCGCCCAGGCAGGAGTGGAGTGGCATGATCACAGCTTGATCTCCTGGGCTCAGGCGATCCTTCCACCTCAGCCTCCCAAGAACCTGGGACTATAGGCGCACATCACACCTGGCTAATTTTTTTGTAAAGATGAGGTCTTCTCTGTTGTCTAGACTGGTCTCGAACTCCTGGGCTCAAGCGATCCTCCTACCTCGGCCTCCCAAAGTGCTTGGGACTATAAGGTGTGAGCCACCATGCCTAGCCAGGAGTACATTTCAAATAAATTTCATGGCTACGGAGAATTGAGATAGTAAGTCATTATCCTGTCCCTTGCCTGTGTGAAGGCAGGACTCCATCTGAGGGTTGTCTATAGTCTGGGTCTGGAAGATACCCTAGGGATGAGTTTAACAAGGATCCTGTCCCAAACCGAGGATGGGTCTTTCCCCTTCCCACTAAACACTCTCATTGAACTCATGCTTTCTCCAGAGACAAGTCAATGAATCACTTAAAAGACGGCCATTATTTCACAATTTGTCTTATGATAACCAAACTTTCTACAATAAGAAAATTTAAGGCCAAAGCGTTATCATGCTTATCCCAGAAATCAGAACTGCCCTCTCTCT